AATAAATCAATTCAATCTATCAATTTCGGGAAAATCAAAAATCGTACGAAAATCGGGCAGAGTAACGACAGTCTGTCAAATTATACAAAAATTCTGCAAAAAGCACAAATTCTAAATTTCTTCAAATTACAGCAGAATATCCACGACATCAATACAAGACTATTATTCTATAGAATCCAAATCAAATCAAGTCCTGATATTTTCCTATTCAATTAAAATCGCGTAGAATCAATTCCGACCGGTAAAATTGTCACAGAAAATACTCAAATCATGTACAATAATCATATCTATAACATACTAAAAGTTGTGCAGTGAAAGTTGTGTCAAATCAGAATCATATCCAAAATTCGACTACGAAAACACAAAATAATGCAAAACTCGGTCAAAACACAATATCTCTGAAAACAGAAATAGGATTCGGAGTCCTTACCACGAGATCTTCACTTTTCCCAACAGCAGCGTCGGACGAAAAGCGCTTTGCGGCCTCCAAAACCCAGCTTTTCCTCTTTTCCCTTTCTCTTTCTCTCTCCTCAAAATATCTGTTTTTATAAAAAATGATTTTCTCACTCCTCAAAACGAGCTGATTTTCTTATATCATTAGGCTGATCGGCCCGGCCGATCGTCAAATCTTCCCGGGACGATCAGACCAAAATCGATCGTCCTGGACGGTTCCCAGAACTAGTTTCAGGACGATATTTTGAACAGTACAGATCGGCCTGGACGATCTCACTATCGTCCCGGACGATCCTGGGAGGAAAATCCAAGTCAGAGAGGAACAGTAAGGGAACGAGGTCTCACAATCTCCCCACCTTAGAAAAATATCGTCCCGACATTTCCCTACAGGTGCGAAGCAAAAACAACGCAAACCAAATCGATCCAAATCCAAATCCAAATCAAAATCAAAACTCGTCGAAATCCAAACACACAATGCAATCAAGCAAATGTCAATCACTATGTATGCAGAATGAATCCATTCTATCAAACTATCAATCAAATCCTTTCACTACACTTGCTCTAATACCAACTGTGATTCCCCAGATATCAATAGTGAAAGGATTCATCTGACATTCTGATCGAACTCCATTCCAGTTGCCTTGCTCAGACCTGAAAATTTTAACCACATATAATGAGCTTAAAAAGCCCAGCAGGTCACCAAAGCCTACAACTGAAAT